ATTATTGGACATGAGGTTATCCACTGGGATGATGACCCATTCACGGATAATGTTAAGAACCGCAAGTCTACCCCAACGACATCGAATCATACAATCCTGAAAATTTTTTTCTGTTATGTCCTGCTTTCATTTCCCTTTCTCACTTTTCTATGGCCCCTTCCCATTCTCCACTGTCATCCGCATAACCTGCGAGAGCGCTCGCACGCACACCAAACCAGGTCAACCCGAGTAGCAAGAGGCAAACTGCCTGAACCCAAAGCGCCATGAGGAGAGCTATCCTGCATCTCCCAGTCCCTTAAGACTAGCCTTATCATTCCCAATGCGACACAGTCCACATAGGACATCAATCCGGCTCTTCATACTCACTCGAGATTGCCATTCGTGTTCGTACAGAGGCAACCAGCAAAAACAATCGAAGCGACAGCATCAGCTTTGCCTTGGTTTACTGGCGGCAAGCGGGGTACTTCGTACCGAGTAGTGATGGGTGCTGTGGACCTGCCTGTTACGCATTGATGTTATGTCAAACTTTTTCCCAGTCTTCCTGCGGCGCATGAATCGTGGAGTTTATATAGGGCCCAGCAACTCCCCCTCCTGTCGTCCCACGGCTTTCCTTCCCATCCCATTCCTCCCGGTCTTTCCTCTCCACATCTCGACCCATCCTGAGGTAGTATTTTGTTACTCCTCTTCTTTTGTTGCAAGTTTGATTCCTGTTTTGCGACCGAATCAACTAGCATTTCTCTTTCAAGCGTGTCATCTTTTGGACTACAAAAGACTGTCAATACCCGGCTACCAGGCCGAATTTATATACGAAACAAAAACTATTTCCGAGCGTTTTCTGTGTGGTGTCGTCACAACACTAGACATAGTCATTCTAGGACTGAAAGACGGACACGGACACTCCGACCACGCGCCCAAGCAAAAACCCAGAGAGCGACTTGTTTTGTGATTATTCCATTGCGCCAACTACCATCGCGATCTCCCTTCGCACCTCGGTTGCCCTTATCTGCACGCCTGCCCGCCATTGCACTCCCTAGCGTCTGCCCTGATAGCGCCCTGCGACAACCTCTTCTACTCACGGTCTAGGTTGTAAGAACAGACGAGATTCGAACCGTTTTTTCCCGAGCAGCAATCCAAACAGTCGAATTTAGCCCCGGCGACAAGGCATACCGTGCCCTATTTAGGTCCCCGGCAAACAACCCCAGCGACAATTTAGGTCGATACGTTTTTATCTTTAGCCACGCGCCACATCCCACTCGTCGTTACCCCCTTGCGACTTATCTCCGGAACGCCTGATCAAAATGGGTAGCTGGTGGAAAAACTGGCAGCGAGACCGCTCGCAGATCCCTGAGGTCGTGATCCCTCTGGCCGATGCCCCCAATACGACTCCCCAAACGGAGAAGGATGCCGAATCCAATATCGACAGCTTAGATTCTCAGGAAAAGGGTGCTGCTTCCGCACCCGAAAGCACTACGCTAACCCTCGAAGCCCTGCGTGCAGAAGTCGACTCTGCCGTCTCTGCATCGGGCCATAACTCTGTTTATGATCGTATGTTCCTGTTGCCTCGTAATGGGCGATCTTCGACCCCCAAGGAGCCGGCTATTCTCTCTCTCCCAGCCAGGACCCCCTCCTATCATTTCACCGAAGGATCTGGATGTCTGACTGGATGATTGCAGGCAAGGCCAAGATTATCAACAAGGCCATCCAAGATATCGGCATGGGCCGTTATCAGTGGGAACTTTATATCCTCTGTGGATTTGGTTGGACTGCTGACAAGTGAGTCGAATGATTCCTTGGATTCGTTCAAGTTGTTGCGCTAACAAGTTTCTTCCTACAGCCTCTGGCTACAGGTGAGACCACAGGGATAATTTTCTGACGCTGTCGAGTGAAGTGCAGTCGAATTAACCCCGTTCTACGTAGGGAGTTGCTCTGACTCTAACCCCCTTGTCTATGGAATTCGGCATCTCCGAATCCTACGTTCGTTTTACTACTTGCGCCTTGTTCGTTGGTCTGATCGTTGGCGCCACTTTCTGGGGTCTTGCATCTGATATGATTGGACGTCGATTGGCTTTCAATACGACCCTCTTCTTGTGTGGCGCGTTTGGTCTCGCATCGGGCGGTGGTCCCAGCTGGGTTGGGTATGTCCCCGCCTACCCCTGAAATGTCGCAATGGCTAACAGAATATCAGTACCTGTGCCCTCTACGCTTGCTTGGGATTGGGAGTAGGTGGTAATTTGCCTGTCGACGCTGCCATCTTCCTCGAGTTCTTGCCCGGTGCTTCAGGAAACATCTTGAGTTCACTTGCCACATTCTGGTCGGTGGGCACCTTCATTGCCAGTATGCTGGCCTGGGCTTTCATCCCCAACTACTCTTGCTCCGACTCGACCAACTGCACCAAGGAAAACAACATGGGCTGGAGATACCTTGTCCTTTCTCTGGGTGCCATCACCATGGTGTTCTGGATGTGTCGATTCTTCTTTTTCAAGCTGTACGAATCGCCCAAGTTCCTAGTCGCCAAGGGCCGGGATGAGGACGCAGTCGCAGCTATTCACGGTGTTGCCCATCATAACAAGAAGAAGACCTGGCTCACGGTGGAAATCTTGCAAGAGATCGGCGGAGCTACCGAGGATAGCAAGGAACAGAACCTTTCCTCCACGCAAATTCTGAAGCGCTCGCTGTCCAAGTTTTCCGTGCAGCAGATCGGACCTCTGTTCTCGTCCAAGCGTCTTGGAATCACCAGTAAGCTTTTCCCTTAGATCCTCAGCAAATTTGCCCATCAAGGACTAAACGATGAAAACCAGCCGCTCTCATCTGGCTCTGCTGGACCACCATCGGCATGGGATACACCCTCTTCAACGCCTTCCTGCCCCAGTACCTCGGCTCCTCCTCTTCTGTATACATCACCTACCGTAACTACGCCATCACCTCCGTGACCGGACTCTTCGGTCCCATTCTCGCCCGCTACATGGTCGACGTCAAGTACGTCGGTCGGAAAGGTACAATGGCCCTGTCGACGTTGATCACTGCTGTCCTGCTCTTCTGCTTCACGGCCGCCAAGACATCCGACACTCAACTCGTGTGCTCTGCTCTCGAATCCTTCACCCAGATGATCATGTACGGTGTGCTGTACGCCTACACCCCCGAGGTCTTCCCCGCTCCCAACCGTGGTACCGGCTCGGGTATTGCCAGTTGCTTGAACCGCATTGCTGGTTTCTGTGCTCCTATCATTGGTATCTATGCTTCTGCGAACCCCAGTGCGCCTATCTATGCTTCGGGTGCGCTGTTGTTGGTTTCCTTTGTGGCGATGGTGCTGCTGCCGATTGAGACTGCCGGTAAGCAGAGTCTGTAGAGGGCTCTTGTTGGGGATATGTACATGATAGAGCATGGAAAGATCGATATGTCTTTCGGTTGATACCACTGTTCTTATGTATCTATATGTTGTTATGACTGAGATAGCGTGCATGATTGGTTTTTTTGGTAGAGAGGATAGAAAAATAGATGGACTTTATGATTCTAACTTAAATCAGGGACATAGTCCCCCAGCTATGCTTGTAGTACTCAAATGTGCCGATTAACTTAGCAGTATATTTTGTGTACGTGCGAGCCACATAATGGCTATCTCATCACCGAAGTTGCGCAGACTAGATTAGGCAATTCTGTCATTACTTCGATGAAGGATAGAAGTAAGGGTTTTAGTTGTAACATAATGCACAGTACTACTCCCAGTAGATCCGAGGCACTACATGTACCATCTTGGACCATCAAAGCGGTTGTGTAATCATGTTGCTGATCGTATCACCGCCCCCTTCGATCCGTAGAACACATTCTCCGTTCAACAAAATACGTTTCTGTGCCGCATTCGTATGCCAGAAGACTTAGTCCGTACTATCCCTGGCTGGAGTTGAACTTGACGTGTTCTGGAAATATTGCGTATGTCATCCACCCGATGTGTTGGGCTCAGAGTTCTGTCACGGGAATAATATGCGTCCGCGTCGGCAGTAAGGGGCGAGGCGCAGGAAATGAATAGATGCTTGCCAGTGGCTGCCTTTGATCATTTGCAGTAGAAACTTATGCCGATGAAATTCGTTGCTGTAGGTAGCTCTATCGAGGATTGATTAGAGTTTACTCCGCCCTGAATGGGGTGCAGGACAAAAATCCCCGTGTATTGAACCACAGTTGCCTTGAAACAAGTGAGTTTAGTAGAATTTCAGAGCCCGCATTCCGTGGGCACATAATAGAGTAGATCAATTCAACAATGTGTGTAACACAACTTGGATGACCAACAGGTGTGGAGTCCTTTGTCTTCACCTATGATAATGATTACTGCGTCGTCGAGATCGGCCAAATTTCAGTGGATATCTACCCTAACAGCTCCTTGCAATCTCATAGCCGCTGCTGAGATAGTAATAGAGTAATATTGAGAGCCATGATCCGGTACGTAGCGAGACTTCAACAGATGATGAACATTGATGATCGGGGAAAGAGTAGTCACTATAGAAAGGGGTAAGAATGAGATTGTGACAAAATAGGCATGGTCTGTTTGTGAGAGGTTGCACAGCAGGGTACCAGAAAGAAAAGGATCTGTTGATCTATATTTACTGAATAGGGACGTGTACTTCTCCCCTCCCGCATCCGGTGACAGACATCGTAGTGGGGGTACTCTATTGGACGCTAGTCAAAATAACTGACGTCTCAGGATTCCAATGACTGACAGTGTGTGGGATGACGACAGTACATAGGACATCTACTCAATATTTAGGGTAGGGCGACTTGCGAATAACATATTTACTCATCTTTGGTGGCCCCTTTCAAGGGGCTCATCTATTCAAGAAATCCGTCAATGGGAAGTAATAGAACTATAGGCCAAGCGTCAGAAATACATGGACTACTGTATATAGTGTGGAAGTAATCCTCCTCTCGGTAAGTCACACCAGGAAATTATCATAAGTGACTATTCGAGATTACACATATCTCCGAACGTTAAATATCATTCTGTACTTGACATGGATCGACGCACCCTGGAAGCTCAGCTTGGCACTATTAAGGTTCCTATAGTGCACATCCCATGGGCAGGAGAGATCGCAGCAGATGTGCCCCAGCTCGAAGCCAGAATGCTTGAATGGGCCGATCAGAAGGGCTTGTTGGTCGACGTAGCCTACCGCGAGCGAGTGAAGCGCAGCCGTTACGCCTGGCTAGCAGCCCGGTGCCATCCCAAGGCGGCACCCGAGCTTCTGTCAGTCATCTCGAAATTCTTCGTATGGTACTTTGTCGTGGACGATCTCTTTCTCGACAGGGTGGACATTGTGACGCCAAACACACTCTCTAACCTGACCGCCATGATCGACGTGATTGATCTTAACCGTGCAAGGCCCGAGCCTGTATATGGCGAACTGGCGTTGCTTGACATTTGCCAGTCATTACGTCAACTGTTATCAGCGGAACATTTTCAGCGTTTCGCTCAGGGAATAAGACTTTGGGCCACGACTGCCGGCTTACTCATTCTGTATCATCTCCAGGAGAAGCCGGTAGGGGCGAGCCAATTTGAATCCATCCGCCGCCATACAAGTGGCGCGGACGCTTGTCTAGCGTTGGCAGATGCATCGAATTGTGGTCCCGTCAATCCAGAAGAGTTCTATCGACCGGATGTGCAGAAACTTTGTCGCTATACGAACAAAATTATCTGCTTGGCAAATGATATCCACAGTTTCATTGTTGAGGCACGCCAACCGGGTCAATTTTGGAACATGGTGTACATTCGAGCGGCTGACGGTTACACCTTGCAGGAGAGTGTTGACCATACAGCTGCGAGTGTATATGAAGAGCTGGAGAAATTTCAGAAGCTGGAATACCAGATCTTGCAAGATGCAAGCCCACAATTGTGTGGCCTTGTGGATGGTTGCAAGCAATGGATCCGTGGGTATATGGACTGGGTGGCGCTGGATACTAAGCGCTACCAGGCGGCATATGCTGTTGGTGATGCTGATGATCGAAATGTTCTTCGCACCCGTCACGTGTAAGCACTGTTCGCAGTCCCTTCTAGCTGACTTTAAAGGTGACCATGTCTACATGATATACGATTCTAAAGAGCTGTGATGTTAGAAGTTGGGCCAAACATGGACAAGAGAAATGTTTCTGTGGTTCTGTCTTGGAAAGTAGGTAGCACTAGCGCTCACGTCAGCATACACGATCTGTCAACGAGGGCGAATCAAACAAAGACATTTGGTTTGTATACAGGCATATTGGCCTTACTGCTATTATTAAATGCAATACTATTTGTTGTCAACTTAGGCAACAATTCATTTGGAGAAAGCCCTAAGTGAATGTATGTTAGGCTCCCATCATGCCACAGTATTTATATGTCATGCAGTGCAGCTATGGTGCCATGACCAGACACAACTCAATGACCATCAAGTTCTACAACTATTTACACATCTATACATTGCGAATTGCCCCAAGCGCCAAATAGGATACTGCAAGACTCACACACAATGTCCTCCACCACATTTGCCTCCGAAGCCACCACCTTCGAATCGGCCCTAACCAGCCTCTTCAGCGGCCCTCCTGAGACTACCGAAGCCGATCTGGCCAAGCTCTTCACACCTACTTTCACACAACGTGACGATGAGACAACGCGCGACTTCCCCGCCTTTGTTGCACACATTAAGTGGCTGCGAGGAGTTCTTCCACCAGGAAGTGTGACGCTCAAGATTACGCAGTTCCTGCGCGACGGGAATCAATTTGCGGATAGACACAGCTCTACCATGACGATGCCAGATGGAAAAGTGGGCGCCGCAGAGACGTTTATGTTCGGGGAGGTGGCGGAGGATGGGCGGATCGAGTGGGTGGTGGAGACAGTGAAGCGGAAGTAGTGGAAGTGATGATTGGAATAAGTCCGGCGGGATAAGGTATTATTCTTGTGTGATTGCTAAGAGACTTGATCATTGTTCTAATTTGAGTTTGATTGCGATTACTAAATTTTAATATCCGAGTGAGAGGGAATCAATGGCGTTATCCAGGCAGCTGCATACAATACTACATTCCCCTCACGGTTCGCATCACCTCACGAGGGAAATCTGGCCATCTCGGCAATCGATGGTATCATCCAAGCGGGTTCCCCTCAATTATAGTCTTGATAAGCCACTATTGCTGCAGAACGCCTATCTGTGCCGTTAGTGTCTCCATAGTGTCCGCAATGCTTTTTCTGCCGATTAATTTATTGCCAGACGGACTCCGTCGCTCCTCCGAATGCCGGGTGCCGCGGCTAAGCTCTGCTGTAGCTTGCATTTGCTGCAGGAACATCTGCATCCTCTCAAACTTTTCAGACGTATCTGGTCTTCATTCTCGTACTGAGATGCAGTTATTGTATTGTAATTCGTCCCAGTATAAGCTTTCTGGCGGCTTCAACCTTCCAGAGGAATAATAGGGTTGGCGGGAATGGCTTCACCGCGTCCCTGCATGCAAGGGATGCATCATGCACCGTGACCTGTTCCACCACGCCGGAGCCCGCCCGCCCTCCGACGGCCCAAACCCACTGCAGAATGGCTTGATCAAATTACTCGATCTATAATAAACAGGCTGTCCCTCCTCATTGTCTGTCCTGCTCTCCACCCAGGGTCGTTTTTGCTTTTTCCTCCTCAGCCATGGTCGCCTTCTCCCGCCTCTCGGCAGGCTTCGCCCTTGCTGCCCCTGTGCTCGGCAGTGTCGTTCTGGAGACCGTCAAGTCTGTCCCCAGTGACTGGAAGCTCGTTAAGGCTGCTGATACCAGCTCAACCATTTCTCTGTCTGTTGCTCTGGCGCGTCAGAACCTGGACCAGCTGGAGGAGAAGCTCCTGGCTGTGTCCACCCCTGGCAAGGACACGTACGGCCAGTTCTTGGATCTGGACGACATCAACGAGCAATTTCCTCTCGCTGATGACGCTGCTGTTGTTTCTTGGTTGAAGAAGAACGGCGTCACCAAGATCCATAAGGAGGGTGGTCTGCTGAACTTTGCGACCACTGTGGGCACAGCGAATCAGCTTCTCAACACCACCTTCTCGGTGTACAAGAGCGGATCTACCCAGAAGCTGCGCACGACGAAGTACTCTGTTCCGGATGATTTGGCTGGGTCCATTGACCTCATTTCGCCAACTGTTTTCTTTGGGAAATCTAACGCTGCCCGCTCGGCGGCTGTGCGTTCTTCGCAGACTACCAAGGAGAGCAGCAGCAAGAGCAGTGATGTGTGCGAGTACATCACCCCGGATTGTCTCAAGGAGCAGTATAGCATTGACTACACGCCCGAGAAATCTTCGGGAAGTCGTGTTGGGTTTGGCAGTTTCCTGAACGAGTCGGCCTTGTACTCGGACTTGGATCTGTTCACCCAGTACTTTGACATTCCGGAGCAGAGCTTCACTATTGAGACCATCAACGGGGGAATCAACAACCAGGAGAATGACCCTGATGGTGAAGCTGACCTCGATGTGCAGAATATCGTTGGCATTTCTCATCCCTTGCCGGTGACGGAGTACATTACTGGTGGATCTCCGTGAGTGTTCCGAAGACGAGAATCATAATCAACGCTAATCAGGTGGGTTAGTCCGTACATTCCCGACGTCGAGACCACGACCGACGAGAACGAGCCTTACCTGCAGTACTACGAGTATCTGCTGTCCAAGACCAACGACGAGCTACCGCTGGTTATCAGCAACTCGTACGGCGATGACGAAGATGTAAGCATCCCTACCTTCCATAGAAAATGTCTGCTAACAGGTTAGACCGTCCCCATTGCCTACGCCACCCGTGTATGCAATCTTATCGGCCTGATGGGCGCACGCGGTATCTCCATTCTCGAGTCCTCCGGTGACTCCGGTACGCTCTCCCCATATCTATTGCATCAATCCCGTACTAACAAATGCAGGTGTTGGTGGCGCATGCATGTCCAACGACGGCACCGACAAGACCGAATTCACCCCCATGTTCCCGGGAACATGTCCCTACATCACTGCGGTCGGTGGCACCCAAGACGTGCCCGAAGTCGCCTGGGTGGACAGCTCTGGCGGCTTCAGCAACTACTTCTCGCAGCCGTCATACCAATCGGACCAGGTGGGGACCTACCTGGACAAGTACATCTCGGCGTCGACGAAGAAGTACTACGAGCAGTACACCAACTTCAGCGGTCGCGCGTTCCCTGACGTGTCTGCGTTTGCAGGCTCTCCTTAGTATGTATCAATTTCAGAGGAGTGTATGGGCATCTGCTAATGTGTAACAGCTACTTGACTTATATCGATGGTGAACTCGGCCTTGTGGCGGGTACTTCTGGCGCTAGTCCTGTGTTTGCGGGTGTCGTCGCGCTGCTGAACGATGCCCGTCTGCGGGCTAACAAGACATCTTTGGGCTTCTTGAACCCATGGCTGTACTCCAGCGGCTATAAGAGCTTGAACGACATTACCAGTGGCGAGGCCGTGGGCTGCCAAGGAGATGTGGAAGGCGCTGGAGTGATCCCGTGGGCGAGCTGGAATGCCACGACGGGATGGGATCCGGCGACAGGGCTGGGAACGCCTAATTTCGCCAAGCTGAAGGAGGCGGTTCTTGCGTTGTGAGCAGGATACAATTAGGCACCGAGTGGACATGCTGGAGTGGGCAAACATGTGCAAGGCGTTAACTTATAATAACCTGTGTGTGGACTAGACAAGCATGGACAGAGCACAACCAATTAGCGTCTGCATAGTTGCTACCCTTAAACTAAAGATAATCAATCGATTACCGCTGTCAGTCTCAAGTCGGTCATGTCATGGACCCTGTTCGATCAATTTGAAACAAGCTTAATCTAACAGCGGCGGTGATGAAACCGCCAGCGGATACTTGTTTCAGTTTACCCGCAAGCCTGTATCCAGCATCCAAGCCCTACTTAAACCTGTCAATGCCCATGATTCCATTCTCTCTCTAACCACCATTCTTTTCTTCATTGTGCCGGTCACATCCATTCTTTACTTCCATTCTATTCTTTCGTCTACTTTCACCAGTCACTCATTATATATACCACGCAAGTATCACCATGAAAGGAGCCGCCTTCCTCGCCTTCCCCGCCTCCACACTGGCCGGATCAGTACTGTGGAGCGGAATCTTCAACTCGTCCTATACTGTCGCTGACTTTGACGAATGTATTGCCCCTACCGTGGACCCTAATATCCTATATGGTACTATATACTAAATAGAGATAGGGTCATGGAGCAACCAAATCGCCCCTTGGCAATGGTACATCCACGGCGACGGCGAAACCTCGGAATACCTAGCCCTATCCAGCGACTACAAGAACCCAGCAGCGAGCGATGCCCAGGGTCTGCGTACCAGACTTGTACTCTTCCCCATATTCTTTAACCCATCACTCAGATCCCTACTATAACAGTGAGCTAACCCGTCCCCCTCCGGGGATAAAACAGGATAACACCTCTTTCTGGGAAGGCCAAAGCATGCAACGCACCGAACTCATCCCCCAAATGTCGCCCTCCAGCTCTGCCTCCGACCTGGGATCCGGCCACCTGTACTACCACTTCTCCCTGAGCGCCAGCAGCACCAACCCCCCGTCCTCGTCAAGCGAGCACCAAATCGCCTTCTTCGAGAGCCATTTCACGGAGCTGCAGTACCAGGATAACACGCTGAAGTGGAATGCCGGAGGAGATACGCATTACTCTGTGGAGCTGGAGACTGGCAAGTGGTACAACTTTGCGTATGATATCGATTTTGATAATCAAAAGGTTGGGCTTTGGGCATCGAATGGATCGGATGCTTTGACGGAGGTGGTGAGTCCTGTAAGCGCGAGTGCGAGCTCCAATGGGGAGGATTTCCATGTCGGTGTGTTGAGTTTGACTGGTGATGGGACCGAGGATTGGTTCTGGAGTGGGGTTTATATTGAGAAGGGCGATTTGACGAAGAGTATTGGGGATGGTAGCAGTGCTAGTGCTAGTGGTAGTGAGAGTTCTTCGACTACTACTGCTGCTGCTGCTGCTACTACCTCTGCTACTTCGTCCGCTACTTCTGCTGCCACTACGTCTGTCGAGACTACCACTGCTGTCGCTGCTACCCCTACTCAAAATGTGGCCGTTGCTTCGTCTTCTACCAGCGCTGCTTCGACGACCTCGGCTGCGACTACCTCCAGCTCTGAGTCTACTGCCGCGGCTACCCCCTCTGCCTCTGCCCCTGTCATCGCTACGCCCTCTGCTGCTCCCTCTGCTGCTGCTGCGTCTGGATCTGTCGCTCTTCCCGTGCCGACAACCGCCTCTGAAATCCTGACTGATGTGCGCGCCCTTTTGACTGCCCTTCTGACTCGGCAGGGAGTGCATGCTCGTGATTTTACTGTTTAGACAGTAATCTTGATTGATGGATGATTGTATAGTGTGGTCGAGGAGATTGTATTACTTAGTGTGTTTGGTGTGAATCTTAACCTGTTGAAATGGGTATTACCACACGAGTGTCTCTTTCTTCTGACGGCCGTTGATAAGCTGCTCCGCTTGATTCTCTACCCATCGCTCAATCTGTGAAGGTTAGTAAAGTGATATTCCAGACCGGGTCGGAGACACGCACATTCGTAAACTTGCTCGATAGCCATACTGCCACCGTCAACAGCAGTAGAACTCCTCCAATGAGAGGATACCAGCGCCATGAAGGGTTGTCGCTGAGAATATCCACGTTCATACCGAATAAACTCTACTCAGTTAGACTGGACTTGTCAGTTGGGTGTGGTATGCTCACCGACGCAAATGTCATGGGAAGAAAAATGAACTACCCATCCGTTAGTCGAAATAGTTGAAATAAGAAAGCAGACATACCGTAATCCAACTCAGCCGTTTCATACTCGTCGCCAAACTAGTCGACCGGTGCGCCTCATTAATTGACACCCACGCAAATTCCTACCAATATTAGCCGTGCGCTCATCAACTGCCATAAGGGAAGCGTACAATCTGCAGCAAATCGCGCACCGTCTGCTCTAGCTTATCAATCTGCCCCGATATCTCTTTGTCTAACCCATCTATCATACTCTGCATCTTTTCACTAAACTTGCGCGTCTCGCTGAACCGCTGGTACTGCGTGACAAAATACCTTGCCTGGCTAAGCTGCTCGGCCAACGATGCTTGAATTTGCGTCCATTGCTGCATGCTTTCTGCGATGGAGTCAATAAGGCGGTCATCTTTGCCTCGGGCAGTCAATTGATGTGTTCGCTGCGTAATAATCAGCAGTCGCCCAACATAAACCTTCTCAAGAACATACCAGCCGTCCCAAGTACCCCCGAGCCTCCCGGCAAAACGCAATCCAGTCGTCCCGCCATGTTTTCATAAACAGCTGCACCAGCTCCAGGTCACTCTCAGGGATCCATCCATATGGCAGGTTGCTGAAGTAGTGGATAGTCTTCTGAGGCGCTTCCAAAACGGCCCATTCGATAATTCGGACCTTGCGGTCGTCGTCCTGGTCGTCGGTAAAGGAAGTCCCGATCTTCATGTCCAGGCGGACAAACAGTGAGAACGTTCGACAGGGACTTTTATTCCCGAGAGAAAACTGCAACTCGTTTGGTGTATCGGTCAGTTGGCAATATGTGTTCCAATAATGATTTTCCCGGAAGAGTCTGAATTGCATCAGCATCACGTCTTCATAGAGTCATTATTCGCTTGACCAACTAACAGAAGATGTGTCTCGTCCGCCGTCTTCGGCATTGCCTTTATGTCTTGGTACAAAGTATCTTCGTTGATCCAACGCGCCGCACGCCGTCCATCCCGGAAGACCATGATATCCACAGCGACGCTTGATTTTAGCCCGCGGCTGTAGCGCCCATCGAAGCCATCGTCAAGTGCCATCATTTGCCTCCGATGACTTAACAATGCTGTTAACGTGGCACGATCACCATCCGGGATAGTCATATCCATCACGGGGATAGAGGCACCATCGGTCCGGGTGTGAGCCAACAACAGATTCGCTGATGCTCCGGCCGTGCTGCAGGGACCAAACCAATCGCCGTTTTCCAGCCCATCCACACCAGCCTTGTGTTCTAGAAGAACGGCGACGGTCGAGCGATCAGCCTGCTGCAGCGCCCACCTCATCAGAGGAATCGGACTCGATTCATCCTCGTTACTCAGGTCTGGCTTGTATCGCTCCAGGAATGGTTTCAGCAATCGAGCTCGGCTCTCTTGGACCATCAGCTTTAGTGACACAACATCGTGCTTACGATCCGCGTCGTCCCCGCAGCCAGACATCAGCATGTCCGCTATATCGTAGTGCCTCCATTCAAGCGCGTACACCAGCGGAGTCTTCCTGTAACGATCAATAGAGTTAGGGTCTGCCCAGGTCGTCTTTAATAGCTCCTGTACAAGCGCTGTATCGCCGCGTTCACTCGCCCAGGCTAGAAAGGTTCGTCGGGCCTTGGTCATGGGCTCCACCCCATGTGTCGGTCCGATAGCGGCGAGCCACTGCTGAAAGTCCTCTGAATGCTGTCCGTTTGACTCTCGTCTCTTATTATGGTTACTGATGACCCACCAGAGTGGGATCTGCCCCTCGTGGTCGTGGATATCGGCGCTAGCCCCGTGCGCAACCAATGCGCGCACGGTATCCAAGTGCCAGCTTTCGGCAGCCCATGATAGCGGAGTCCGACCCCGACTGTCCTTGCTATCTGGATCCGCTCTGCCAGTGGATAGCAATAACAGCACAATCGTGCAGTGTCCTTGTCCCGCTGCACGTGATAATGGCGTACGACCACGGGAGTCTGCGATATCGGAGGACACTCCCTTCTTCAGAAGGAGGTCTACCATTTCGCGATCCCCACCTTTCACGGCCCAGTGGAGAGGTGTTTCCCCATGGTGGTCACCAAGATCGGGATTGGCACCTCTGTCCAGGAGATACTGCAACAGAATATCGCAACGCTCCCGCTGTTCTAGGGACTGGACCTGTGAGAGATCACAGGATGCGGCCCAAGAGAAGGCCGTCCGACCGGTCTGGTCTTGGACGTTGGGGGAAACGCCATAGAGGAGGGATTGAACTTCGGGAAGCAAGCCTCGGTGGGCGGCCCGCATAAGCTGGTCAATACGGTCATCGTCCAATTCCAAGTAGATGGCTGCAGGAGACTTCTCCATGCTTATGTACATTAGTTAGCATCAGCGGAGGAAGAGGTCTCCGTGGGATGAAGCGATGGAGTCAGCCTCATCCTCGCGGGGGCGTTCCCCGCCGCTTATTGGTCGGAAGATCAGCATAGCGGCATGGCATCCAAGAGCCGTCCAGAAAATATATCTGGAGTCTGTAAGGCTGATACATGATGGTACTTGGGGGAATATGAAGTGACCAGACACTCTCCAAGTGTATCCGTTGTCTCTATGACCAAATCTTAGGCCCTAGGGCAGGCGCTTGCTGGGGAAAACACGCGTAATGCGTCCAAGCTAGTTGACTAGCGCTTGTCCACTGCTGGGACTGAAGCATGGACTTCAGAGGTGAGATATCGGCAACTAATGTGTGTCGGCAGTCGGAATACTTCCGAATGCTAGACCGTCATTAGGATGGCTTGAGAGTCAACAATATGAAGCTTAATCGTTTTTCCGCAGGAATCAGAACCCCGGAGTAAGGCGTGCTTTTCCCTGCAGAATGCGAAAGGTCGAGCCAACCCCACATATAAGTAAGGTTGAACTGCCCGTAGCAGCCGGACCTAGTGTCGTGTGCCAGACGCAGGCGTCAAAAATCTGAAGAAACATGGTGATGGTAACCTTGATAATGCTATAGAGGATGGCGGTACACGTGAGCCAATTTCTGCCCCAGGCCATACACACGTGACGAGAACACAACAGCGGGATCTGGAGGGGAGACTAATCCAAACTGAGACTAAGTCAGGCGTACATGAATGCTTGATAGGATTCCAGTACGTAAAGGTTTGAGAGGCCACGAGGGACGTGCCCATCCTGGAAGCATCCCCGAACCGTCTACAGCAGCTGCTCGAACCATCAGACCATTGGTGCAGCTATCAGTCCAGCCTGATTATTCCGGTTAGCTACGGAGTGAGATGCCGGTGGATAACTCAGGCGTCTCGTTTGGACACTACTGCATCAAGGTGAGCGCAGCAGAAGTAGCAGCAGGCGAAGATACCCTCCAAGGGACGGAATCGAGCTGATAGCAGCGAGAGTCTATCCGGATAATTCTTTTCGGCCTCCACCCACTTGGCTTCGTCGAAGCTCCACTGCCAAGATCCGCATAGTCTTGGCATTTTTTTAATTCTCAAATATGATTGGTTGCGGCTGATGCCGTTATCAGTGCTGGCGGTGGTGTCATCTCCGGCTTGCCTCTATCAGTTTCATATCTTTTGACTCCCGGTATCTCATTTTATTTCCGCTTCCTTCATCAATAATATACCAGTCGTACTTTCCATGGTTCAGGTTAGTTTATCTTCTGAGACATCATCCGGACCAGTCAGAGCACGCAATGCTTGGCCCTCACTGGACCTCATCCATTGGCCAACTCGGTCCCTGAACTTGCTTTTTTTCTCCATCCTTCCTGTTACAGTCCCCCCGAGCCAGCCTTATCCCCAGCTCTCTCGGTGACTCCGAGTCTCACGCCTTTTCAGCCAGCATGCTTGCTTTTTTCCAAAGCCTTGTGCGTAGTTGAGAGCTGAGATAGAACAGATGCCCCCTATTCACCATGTCCATCTGCCACCCCTGTGCCTCTCCATGAGAGACGCGTGGGAGTGCGGGGATTGTGGAAGATCCCACGGTTGGACATCCATCCGGCTGCATTAGCCACTTCACTTGCCGCGTTGGCGAGAAAGCTAGATAGACTAGTTTAGCCAGTGCCATCAGACCTGACTAGTGGTCCCGTTCCTATTCAATCCGCTCTCAGATAGTCCGATAGCAGCGTCGCTTCCCACCGCGATGAATCCACGATCTTTAGTGGAAGCTAATCCTGCTCGTCCGCCACCATGCAGGGACTTGGACAAATGATCGCGCGTATTTCAGATAACTCTCCCGTATGGACGTAACCTCATTTGCCCACACGGCTTCCCCCAGTTTCTTATCCACTCCAGACCACATGCCACTCGGGCTGCAACGGCCATGTTTGCCACAGAAACATGGAACAGAGCAGGTCCGGGTGCCAGCTGTGTGTGTTCTAGATGGACGCTAGAACCTCCTTGGATAAGCCTCCCCACTGCCTGGCCGCATAGACAGCGGCGACGAAGTGCACCAACCCATCGCGTGATACTGGCTGTAATGCAAAGTAGATAGTGGCTACCATCCACATTGGGTCCCGATCTCCGACGCTGCACCGGTGGGAATTAGGCCTTGGCACTAGCCAGCTTCGAGACATCTGGAGTAGTCTCCGCGCACTGATAGTGGCCCCGAAG